AACTCAAAAGAAAAAGAATCAGACCAAGCTTTGACCCCTTGTCCATCACTTGTGTCCCAGCTGTCACGCTAGGGAGACTGGGTCTGCTGTCACTCACACTGGTTCATTACTACGAGGCCTCTAGCATGTCGTGCTCCCAACACAGCTCCCTCAACACAGCAAACACCACACAACACATACACTCACCCAAACAAAAGGCAGCATCAACTTAAGGATCTCTGCTAACCTAGCATCCTTGAACCCTTTTTTTCTGACATATTTACAAAATATCTGCACTCTGTACTGCTATGGAAGCATTACAAATGTAGCATTAGATTCCTCTTCTTGAGGTAGTTCAAAGTCTTGAGATAGCAAATTCACGTATTTTTCTCTACTACCATGGATATGTAGTAATCATAAAAGACCAAAAACCAAATTCCTTCTCCCCTCATTCTAGGAGTACTTTAATTTTCCCTCTCGGATCATAACAAACTAACAACTGAGGGGGGGGGAAAACTATATATAATCTACATAAAATTTTAAAAACAAGCAAAAAGCCAAGAAAAAAAATCTGTGGAAAACTAATAGTCTAAACTTTGCTATAGACAAAACAAACAAAACAAAACCTCACTTTGTCTACCAAGCACTTTATAAAGTACTAAGTAATTAACAGCTCATAAAAACTGGGGAAATTATTTAGGTGGAGGTAAAATTAACACCAACTCATTCTCTAGCAAATAGCTGTTCTAAAATGCCACGTCCACACAGAGAGGTCTGGAGGAACTGTCTGCAGAAGGCTACCTTGTAGGCCAGACCTCTCTCAGGTCTGCTTCATAGGCGCAGGGATGTTGGCAGATGCCTGCTCCAGGAAGGCCAAGGAGCCCTGAGGGCCCTCGGCAGGCTTTTTGTGCTGCACATTGATGTCCTCCAGCACCTGCTGCCAATGCCTCAGCTTTGTTAAGTGCTTCTGCACCAGCGCATCTTTCCGCTGCAACTCATTCCTTAGTTCTGAGACGTCCTCTTTGATAACTTGCTTAGGTTTCTGAACAGACAACTGCAATCTTTTTTTTTTGTAGAAAAAAGCATTCTGTCTGTCTTGCAATATCCAGAAACTTCTGGATACACTGATCAACACCAGTTCGATTTTCTTCCTGATCGGTGCCATTGACATAATCCTGACTCACGAGAGAAGCAAAGCAAGCCTCGAAGGACGACTCCAGCTTGTCCACCAAGGTGCTGCTAGAAGTCCTTGGCGCGCCAGGCGCTGCCTGAAGAAGCGAAGCCTGGCCCAAGAGTCCCGGCGGGGGTTGCGGGGGGCCGGGGGATGCCCAGAGAACATACCACCCAGCGGGGCCGCCATGTCTGGGGTGGCGGGTCGCCGCCCACTGCCCATTAGAGCCATTTTAAAATGTAAAACTTGGTGGCATTAGATGCATTCACAGTATTGCGCAGTGATCCATCACTATCCTCAGCGAAGTTCTGTACTTTCCATTCTGTTATCTCCTAACTCCAGTAAACTTTATTCCATTTTCTCTCTATATAAATTTGCCAGATCTAGGTACCTGATATAAAAGGAAGCATATAATATTTGTCTTTTTGTATCTGGCTTATTTCACTTTGCATAACTCTGCATGTATCATGCCTTCATTCCTTTTTAAGGCAAATAATAGTCCATTGTGTGTGTGTATATGTGTGTATATACATATGTGTATGTATTAAATTTTATTTATTAGTTCTAGCAGGCTTTGTTTGTTAGTTTTGTTGTTATGCTTGATTCTTTTTTCCATAGATACTCATGTTATCTGGGGAAAAATAGTTTATTTTTTTTTACCTTTTATTCTGTATACTTTTTATTTCCTTTTCTCAACTTTTTGCATTAGCTAGGAGTTCAGGTATTATCTTAAATAAGAATGGTGAGAGCAGACATACTTGTGTTATTCTTGATCTTAGGGGAAAGTGAATAATTTCTTATCAATAAGTCTGATATTAGCTGTAGGGTTTTTTTTTTTTTGGTAGGTGTTTGTTTTAGTTAGCTTTTTCACTGCTGTGACTAAAAGGACTGACCAGAACAACTGTAGAGGAGGAAAGGTTTATTTGGGTGCTCATGGTTTCAGAGGTTTCAATCTGTGGATAGCTGACTTCATTCCTCTGGGCTCAAGGTAAGGCAGAACATCATGGCAGTTGAGTGTGGCAGAGGGAAACAGCTCACATGATGATCAGAAAGCAGAGCAACTCCACTAACTTTATACAAACCTATATCCCAAAGCCATACCCCAGTATTCCACCTGCTTCAGCCATGCCCTACCTGCCTTCCCTTACCATTCAATTAATTCCATCAGGTGATTGATTTCACTGGTTGGGTTAAGAGTTTCTTAACCCAATCATTTCTTCTCTGAATTGCATTGTCTCACAGTTGAGCTTTTGAAGAACACCTCACATTTAGACCATAACAATATTCTTTATCAAATTGAGGACATTCCCCTCTAGTCCTAGTTTGCTAAGATTTTGCACCTCAGTAGCTACAGTAGTCTGTCTTTTTCAGCACCCATCTATATGATCATATGATTTTTTTCTTCTTTATCCTCTTGATGTTTTACATTGCTGAATTATAATTATTGATTCTAGAATACAGAACAGCCTTCCATACTTGAAATCAAGTCCCACTAGGTCATGTTGTATATTTTCTTAAAAAATACATTGTTGGATTCTAATTGCTAATATTTTGTTGAAAAAATTTTGCACTTATGTTTATGAAAGATGTCAGTTCTTTATTTTCTCCTCTTCCAATGTCTTTAACAGCTTTTGGTACTCATAAGATGAGTTAAAAGTTCCCTTCTGAGGTAGAAGTTGCTTCTGCTTCTGTTTTCTGGAAGTGATTGGCAGAATTGGTATAATTTCTTCCTTAACTATTTGGTAAAACTCACTAAAGTAACCATCTCTAGGCCTAGTGTTTTTCTGAAAGTTTACTAACTTAATATCCTTGCCTATTCAGATTATCTATTTATCCTGTATGAGTTTTGGTAGTTTGTATCAAGAAATTGATCCATTTTTTTAATTTACTGAATTTGGGTTATAGAGTTGATTATAATATTCCTTTATTATCCTTTTAATGTTCATGAGATGATTGACCCTTTCCCATTCATAATGTTGGCATTATATTAATATTTTAAAATTTTCTGTATATTTTAATTTTTGACATCTTAAAAATCTTCTCTAACTGGGGAGAGATACCCACCCTAGGGGAAGTCAATTCTTAAAGATAACAAAGGGCTTAGCCAGAAGCATACCTCTGACCTAAAAGCTAAGCAAACTAGACACCTGACTCCTGTATCTAGGAGTTAATTCTTTTGCTTTAACCATCCTAGGGCCAAGTCTAGGCAAGTATGACTATACCGCAAACCTTTCTAAAATTATTCAAACTGCATCTAATTATTCTTCCTTGCCTTTTCTTTCCTGTGGAAACTCCAATAAAGGATATAATTTAGGTTTTCCCCTCAATCATGTTTTCTTCCTCTTCACCACCTAAAGTTTCCCTATATACCCCTGTGTGGCATGACATGCCTCACTTCTAGATCTTTGAATATAATACTTTGTTTTCGTGATTTCTCCTATGTGTCCTCTTGAGTGACCATCACATGGAAGAATACAGAACAGTTGTAATTTGTGAATTTTCTTTTTTCTTTATTAGTACTGCTAGAGGTTTATAATAGCAAGCCTCTTTTAATGTGATTTTTAGTTATTTGTATGTCTTCTTTGGAGAATTAACTAGTCAAAATCTTTTATCCATTTATTTTTTGTTTTACTTTTGTTTCATCTCTTTAGTTTTGTTATTTTAACAGTTTGCTATATATTCTAGATACAAGTCTCTTATCAGATATATATTTGCAAAATTTCCTTCCTTTCTGTGGTTTGTGTTTTTACTCTATGGTATCTTTTGAAACAAAAAGTTCTTAATTTTGATGATGTTCAGTTAATCTATTTTCATTTATTGTTTTTACTTTTGACATAATATCAATGAATCCATAAGTAATTTAAGGTCATGAAAGTTATTTATACCTATGATTTCTTTGAAAAACTTTATATTTTGCTCTATAATTTAGATCTGTTAGCCATTTCGAGTTAATTTTTGTACATATATGAGTTACAGGCCCAGTTTCATTCTTTTTTTTGCATGTGGATATCCAGTTGTCCTCCGTTTTTTGACTAGTATTCGCAATGAAGGGTCTTGGCGCCCTTGCAAATCAGTCGATGGTAAATGTGAAGAATTATTAAAAACTGCTCTATACATAATCTTATATTAAATGAGTTAATTTGCTCTTTATAACTCTATGAGGTGAGCACTGTTCTTACTCCCATTTATCAATGAAGTAGCTGAGACACAGAGTGATTTATCAAAGGCCATAACACTAGTAAGTCAACTAGTAAGTGGCAGAACCAGGATGTAAACCTGGGCTGACTGATTTGAGAGCCTGAGCGCTTAACCACGGTAAGTAAAAACTAGAAATCTGGACTTCAGAATTCTACTGAAAAGTGTCTTTTAACCAAAGGTAGGGGTAATGACTGGCTGTAAAGCACAACAGGCTTTAGTTGCTGGCTGTATCAGAAATGGACCTGCTGAATCCCTTCCACCCTACAAATTGAGAACTTTCGCTTGCTGTCGATCAAAGCACTGAGTCAGTTTCTGGGTTCCCCGGGCAGAGCCGGCTCTCCGGTAGGTAACCACCTAGGTGCAGAGCGCCGGCCCCGCCCACGGCCCGAGCGTGGCACCCGGGTAACAGTAGAGCTGTGGAGTAGGGAGGGGTGGGCGCTCCCGCGGGAGGCTTCGGGCTTTGGGAAACTCTCGCGGGAAGATGTGTCGTCGCCTCGGTAACGGCGTCGCGGTCGCTTGAAAGATGGCGGGTCGAAATCTTGGTCTCCGGGTCAGTTCACTTCTAGACCTCTGGCTGGTGAATGGGCTGCGGGCATTGAGGACGTCCATCCTCCGTGAACGTGGGATCTGAAAGTCTCTGCCTCTTTTACAGAGACGTAGCGTTCCGGGGACTCCACTGCCGCCGCGTGGGCAGAAACCTGCCACACCTCGACAGGATCTCCTCGCCAGGGAGGAAGAATATAAGTAAGACATTCGGCGGTGGAGTTTTCTTCTTTGATCCAAACGAGGCTGCTGATGAGTATTTTTTACTGTTGTCGGCAGAACTTCCGGGACCACCCGCTGTCCAGCATTCCCTTCCCGTCATCCCGCTCACCTGCCCCCTCTCTGGACCTCCACCTTAGTTACCCGCCTGTGTCTTACTGAAGTGGGCGGAGATTGAGCCCCAGTGTAAGCGTTAGTCGGTGGGAGGGAGTTGTTGAAAGTGGTTTGGATAGCAGGAGTTGCTACGTTGTTTCTAGCGTAGGGTGTTTCGCTTGACTTCGAGTTCCTAGAGTTAACGTGAAAATTTCTTTTAGGCTCGTTTTCTAAATTGGAAGCATATTTCTCAGGGCAACAAGAATTATGTTCTTACCCACATTTGGTGGAGTTAGGGGAGGATTTCCCTTATCTGTTTTCAGTGTCATTGCTCCTCATTGGTCCTGTCCCATTCCTCTCACCATGCCTCAGTTTTCACCCACCAGCTAGGGTATAATCTTTTATTTTCATCATGTCGTTCCATTGCTGTAAGCTCCTCGGTGGTTTCCTTTTGCACTTCAAAAGCTTTGCCATATCTGGTTCTTCCTATCCTTTTATTTGATGTCCCTTCCTCTACCTCTCTTTATCTCCAGCTACCTCTTGTCTGTCTGTATGTCAGTGTCTCTCTTGGCCTAAAACTCTCCAGTTTCACTGGCCTTTATTTCCTCAAACTTTTTTCTTTTCTTTACAGGCAGTCTTACATGCCTTCCACCTATAATACCCAGAATGCCTTCCTAACCATGCTATACAGACCACCCTGTTGTTCTTTATGTATTGTATTATTGATTTTCTTCCCAATTATAATGTTAAGTGAATTCACTTGTTTACTTTTATAAAATTTCTACTTCACTGGACTGAAAATTCCACTGAAGCAGAAATTTATGTCCATTTTATTTGCCGTCATATATACCCTTACAAAAAAAGTATATTTTAACAACTTTTCAGTTTAAAATAATTAAAAAAGTAAAAACAATCTGGCATGTCTTCAGAGTTTTAAACAGTTACCAATCATGTATAACCAAAAAACTATAAAAAAAGTCAAAACTGGAGTGTATAGGTTTTAGATGAAGTAGACACAAGCCAACTTGTACAGCAGGTAGAAAGATCAATCCTTCTCTTCCTGTTAAAAAGTGCCTTGTTGTCTTAGTTCAACAAGAGTGTACTTAAACAGCTGAGTTTATTGTCCATATACAGTTATCAGCTGGTGCTGGAATCAAAATGGTTATTTTCATTGCCATTCACTAGATAGTATTAAATACCTACTTTGATAAGGTTAATTTGTTTTAGTTATTTGAGAATGTTTTACAGCTGGCTCTGGTGTGTCATTAAGGATATATAGTCCTCATTAAAGTCAGAAATCTATAGGAAATATTCTGTTTTAGTAGGAGTTGTTTAATAGTAAAAGTGGCCAGTTGCTTGTTCTGTTATCTATACTTCAAAGTATGCAAATCTGAGGCATGTGAAGGGAGCAACTCCCTGGTTCTGCCTAAAACTTCTAGAGCATTTCTGGGCCATGCATAAATGTAAAATGTTTGGCAATCCTTATAGGCAAGTTTATAACAGTATTTTGACACCTGTTGTCTTGGTATTAAGCATATTGGTGTGTGTGTATATATATATATATATATATATATATATATATATATATATATATATTCAATTAGCAGAACACAGCATTTCCCAGTGACCTCAATCCAGAATCTGCTACATTTAAGCTCCTGTCACATAGTTGGAGGAAACAATCTCTATTGGAAAGGCTAGACCAAGGAACATGCTAATCACTCCAGTTGGTAGATTCTCCAAACTTCATGCCTCTGTTATAAAACCAGAGAACAAAACAAGATTATATGATAGCTGGTAGAACAAGCCCTCCACCTTATAAATCCCAATTACATAGGATTTATGTATTTTCAGGGAATTAACATCGTTATGTATTGAATCTTTTATGAAAATGATACATCTCCATTTACATAGTTTTTAGGTTCATTTAATAATTTATCATTTTACTACATACAAATCTTGCATACAATTTCAGGGTGCCTTACAATTTTGGTTGCTTTGAGTGATTTTTTTAAAATGACATTTTCTAGTGGCTTATATATGTGAGAATATTAGTGATTTTTGCATGTTGTATTATATCTAATGTAGACAGAGATCTTCCCCTGCTGAACTTTTTCATTCTACAGAGTCCCGTGAAGTTTTGATGAAGATGGTCATATGCAAATTAAGATAGTTTTGTCCCTTTTATAATTTCTCATATATTGTCTTTTACCTCCTCTGTGTTTAGGGCAATGTAGTATAGAATAGAAAAAGCTTCCTTATTCTGGCTATTAATTTTGAGAAGCCCAATTTAAAAAAATATTTTTGATTATGAATTCAGTTTCCTCAATGATTATGCATCTATTTAGATGTACTGTTGCTTCTAAAATAAATTTCACTTGATAGTTTTCTAGAAAAGTGTTCATATATGCTTTAAAATGAATTAGCACAAGTTTATTGTATACTCATAAATCGTTGACTATATCTATGACCATGTATACATCTACTTTTGGAGCTTTTTTTAGTGTTTATTTTTTATCTTCTCCTTTTCTATCCATCTTGCCAAGAGATTTATGTATTTTATTGGTATTTTCAGAGAACTAGCTATAATTTTCTTGCTCATCTGTTTTTATATTTGTCCTTATAGAAATATAAATTATTCTTATTATGGTAAATTTACTTGTTGAGCTCATTTATTTTGTTCTTTAATAAATATATTTGGGTTTGTAAATTTTGTTTCACTACAGCTTAACTATTCCAGAACCTATTTTTTTGTATATATACATACAAACATATATAATTATATATATATGTATGTGTGTTTATATATATGCATATACACATATGAATACACACACACCTATATAATTTCTTTTGTGGTTATTTTTAAATATTTTATTATTTTTGTAGTAATTATTTAGGAGTGCTGTTTTAATTTATGTAGGGTTGTTTGTTTACTTTTTTTTTAACTGAAGTTTATTACAAGTGGCACTATGGTCAAAGAATGTTTTTGATACTGATTTTTAAAACTGTTTTGGGACTTGTGGCCACATACATGTTCACTTTTTGTAAATGTGCTATGTGTTCTTGGAAGGACAGTTAGAAATTTTATTTACTATTCATTTTAGTTTAGTTTTCATCATCACCATATTTTGTACTAGCTTTCTTGGTTTCTGTTAGAGGTATATTAAAATAATTATAGTTTTAAAAAAATCTTAGAATCGTGGCCATTTTTGTTTAGTATACTTTATTACCTGTTTAAGTTTTGATTCCTTTTGTTATTGTGTAATGTCCATTCTATCTTTTTAATTTCTATTTATTTCTCTCCTAAATTCAGTACTCTTTTGTAATATTTTCTGGGTCTTCCTCAATGATTTCTGTTCTTTCTTCCCCACCCCTTAAATTAAAATTCTAATTAAAGTCCTTTTTCAGATTGTTTCATTATCTCTTGTTCTTATGGTACAAGATTTTCTTTTTAATTTTTGCATCTCTTTGGTGGCTTGTTTATGTGATTTTTTTTTTCTTTTTGAAGTCATCTTTAGCAGGGTTTGCTTTCTGAGAGAGTCCTGTTCCATATATTCTAGATGAGAAAATATCCATATAGGGTGGTCTTGAATTTACTTTTGTTAGCTAAGAGTTTTCTTTCATTCCAGGACAGCTTTCTTCTGTATTAAAATATTGGCAGAGTGTGCCTGAACCATCTGTATAAAATGACTCCACTTACGTGTGTTCCACTTATTCACATGGTAATCTTTTTCCACCATGCCTCTACCTTCATCTTTACTCATGTAAGGTTATGGGTGGAGTTTCTGTAGCATGTGTTTACAGGTGTAGCCCTTCATGACTCATATTTAGCTCTTTGGGCTTCTATTCCTGTTTACTGCTCTCACTTTGAATTGCTGCCTTATTCTTAGTATGTGGGCATATTCCCCTTCTGAGTTTGAGCTTTGCAATAGTTCCTTCATAACATGTTATCTGGCATTTTCATAGATTAGAATAGAAGTATAGTCTCAGTCATCTCTATCAGTTATATTGTTTGAAGCTTCTATTTAAGTCCTTCTGATTCTTATTAGGAAAATTGGAAAAATCAGATAATGGAACTTTAAATGCAACTTGAAGTCTTAGATATTTTTCTTTTGACCATGTAATCTCAAGATATAAAAGTATTTCTTAAAACACCACACTATTGGGGTAGGATTATGGCTCAGTGGTAGAGCACTTGCCTAGTACATGTGAGGTACTGGGTTTGATCCTAGCACCTCATAAAAATAAACAAATAAAATAAAGGTATTGTATCCATTTTAAAAATCAAACTGTTTTAAGAAAGAATATGGTACTACCCCCTCCTATTTCCTGAGAGCTATGGTTATAAGTGGTTGTTACTTCTGATTCACATAAATAAGAAAAATTCCTCCACATATCTCCCTCATATACTTTCAAAAGAGCCTACAGGTCTAGAACTATGACCTTTTCAAAAGGAGAAAAAAGTTATATGGTTTTGAAGGTGTTTATTGTGGTGTTTATCTGTAATAGTGAAAAAGGGACTTGAACTCATTGAGCAGAATTTAGCACATGCTAACTGAAATTCATTGGAATATTGTGAGCCATTTCAATGCTAAAACTTATGTAGAGATAAACATATTCCCTCTGTCTTGCTGTGGGAAAACAGCACAGTATTGGGCTAGGGTTGTGGCTTAAAACACCTTTCTTAAAACACCACACTATTGGGCTAGGGTTGTGGCTCAGTGGTATGGTATACATACAAAATTGTATGTATACCATAGATGAAAATTGGAAAGGAATATTAAAACTGGATGATGGTGGTAGTAGGATTATGAACATTTTTTTCCTTTAAAAACAATTTTCTTCAATGATATTGTCATTCTTGTGGTATTGATTAGACCAAGTAAATAGTCTTTCTGTTCTTTGCTAGATTTCTAATAGACTGATGGGAAAAAGGAGTTTCAAGGGGAGGTCCTTTATTAATTCCTTTTATTTCTGATGAAGTTGGTATTGCAGTATGTGGCTGAGTTGTAAGCCATGTTTAGACTGCTCACTAACCCAGAGATTTAGCTCCCCAGTCACAGCAGCACTTCAGACCACAACCAGCCTCCTCTACCCGGTCCACACCCAACCTCAGATGGAGCAGGGCGGCTCTCTAAAGCAGCAAGTTTGTAATTTGTATTCTTTAAAGATAGGCCATGCCCAAGAGGATGACTAGTTAAACTCTGTTAGTTTTCCCACTTTATTCTTCCTAAATTTATTAGATATATTATTTCACCTGGAGTAAGGGCTACAGAAAGGCCAGTACTTAGTGTGTTTAAGTTTCTACCACAAAGGAGGGAGAATCATGGAGGGTTGGGGATAAGTTCCAATTGCTGTGATCATTTTAGGGTATAAATGTCATGTATATGTTCTAACATTTGTTGATTAGGTAATTTTCTAAAGTGTAATTGCTGAAGTTAAATTTTTAAAATTTCATTAGAATTTCAATATAACCCAGTTATTGACTTATTTTCTCTTTTTAGGCGTTTAAATGCAGAATTGGAGGCAAAAACAGCTGACCTGGTTCGACAAGCTGAGGAAGTAATAGTAAGTAGATATATATTTATTAATAATTTCAGGTAAGTGCTCATTTAACTTTTTAACATGATGTATAGCATATGCTCAAAAAAGTAGCCAAAGGATTATATTCAACTCAATGAATGATCACAAACTGAATGTGAATATATTTGCACAAGAATAGGTATGTGTACATGTATTTGTAATCATACATTTTCTAAAAGCCATAAGAGTGTTTTCCATTTAGATGCTCCAGTCCTTAACAAGAACACTAATATTTAACAATCTTTTCTAGTACCAAAAAATTAGTATTTGAGAGTAGCTATGTAGAATTAACACTAATAATTCAGTAAGGATAGAAATAAGTGATCTCTGGAGTAAAGTTGTAACCATTATTACAAATATTCAGATGAGAATTTGTTTCTTAAATTCTGCCATTGAATCTAGCCCCACTGAGATTCTTGTGTCTAGATTTGAATTGCATTTATATATAGGGAAAATGCTGTGAGGTTATATTTAAGCATATTATTCATCATTCTGGTACCAGATTGGATATTCCTACTTTAAACTTTCCTCCTTAAGTATCAGCATTCCTATTTTTAATTGATAGGATGGAATAGCCCTCCTTAGAGGAGCACAGTAGCTGCTTTCAGACTTACCACTTCTTACCCAAATTTAAGTATAATTCTTCCTTTAATCCCCTTCTCCCTGGCTTCAAAAATGGAATTGATGGAGGAAGGGAAAGAAATCTAGCAATATTTTAATGCCCTATACAAATCCATTATTTATTAGTTTAGGAATAAGAAATGTATCATAACATTTGAAGTAATAGATAATGGTTACAGATTTGCCAGTTGCATTTGTAATTAAATATTTTACTAAAAATATTTTCCTTTTTTAGTTTTGCCAGCATATGAAGAGCAGGGGCATACTTGTACAGAAGGATTGCTTTCTTTTCAGAGTTCCCTAAAAAGAACTTTTTTTCCCCAAAAAGGAGCAGGGAAGAAATACTGAAGAAATTTTGGGAAATGGAAAGGGACATTTTCACACCCCCCCCACAGAAACTTACCAAATATAACTTTTACCATACTAAATTGCTTACTCAACTTTTATTTCTTGATATATATTTGCCAAAGGCTTTTATTCCTGATATTTCATTTTTAGCATCTTCATGGTCATCTCAATATGAAAGTATTACCTGATTTGCAACAAGTTTTCTACCTGTTAAATGGATTTTTTTTTTTCATTTCTTGTATCTCTAATTTCCATTGCATGCTACTTAAGATGGAAGACTCTAATGTAGTTGAGGGGAAACAAGAATTGCATATATAGGGGCCTTGCCATTTGTAGTTTTCTGTTTAGATTGACTGTTTTACTGAAGAATAAATGAAAAGTGAAGCCATAATATAACAGACTCTATTTTCATACCATAGCATGTTAAATTCCATACTTTGGTATCCTAAAAAAAACATGGACAGCTCTGAAATGATTAATGTTCAGAGAGGCATTTGAATATATCCTAGTTTGTTGGAATTTTTATTATAACCTGTGACACATCTTTCCTCATTTAACTAGAGAGATCAGCAAGAGGTACGAGCCAGGTCTTTTTCAACACAAAATAAATCATATGAAGAGAAAGATGATTTTAATACAAGGTAAGTGACTCAAATTCTCAAATGCCATTGATTGATTTTTAAATTTAGGGATCTATGTGAATCTTTTATTATATAAAATCTTTTTGCATGCAAATATTGAAAGTTTATAATTTGAAGAATAATATGTAAAATAATAATTATGGGCTTAGCTAGTCAGATAAAAGGCAAGCACTTTACCTACTCTGTCATGTAACACTTCTTGGTCCATCACGTGGTGAATGGATAAACAAATTTGGTACATCCATGTGCTAGAATGCTACTTAACTATAAACAGAAATGAACTACTGATACAATGATATGGTTGTTAAGTGAAAGATACCAGACTCAAAAACATATAGAATCTGTTTCCATTTATAGTCATACATTATTTAATGGCAGGAATACAGAGGTAATTTCATTACTGTAAATCTCAGAGTATGACTTAAATAGGCAATAGGAATTTTTCAACTTCATTATAATCCTGTGGGAATGCCATTGTGTTTTCAGTCCATTATTCACCAAAACATCCTGAAGGGGTTTGCTTTAGTCATCTTTCTCCACTGTTCTGACTAAAAGATCTGGTAAGAACAATTTTAGAGGAGGAAAAGTTTATTTGGGGGCTTAGTTCCTAGACAGCTTAGTCCCTAGTCCCATTCCTCCATATTGGAGATGAGGCAGAACATTATGGTGGAAAGTGGCTCATATGATGATCAGAAAGCAGAGATATTCCACTCCCCAGATCTCAAATATATACCCCAAAGGCATGCCTGCAATGTCTACCTCCTCCAGCCATGCCTTATGTACCTACAGTTACCACTCAGTTAATCCCTATCAGGGGATTAATGCACTGATTAGGTTAAAATTTGTCTTAACAATCATTTCACCTTAAATGTTCTTTCATTGTCTTACATATGAGCTTTTAGGGGACATGTCACATCTAAACTATAATAGGGATCATGACTATATTTGGTACTCTGGAAAAGGCAAAACTATAGGGATATAAAACAGATTAGTGGTTGTCTAGGGCTTAATGAGACTAACTACCAAGGGGCACATGGGACCTTTTTGGGATGATGGAAATATTCTCCATCTTTGTGGCTGTGATGGTTATGTAACTATATAGGTTGGTTAAAGTCTATTGAACTGTATACCCAAGATGGATATATTTTATCATGTGTAAATTGTATCTCCATCTGAAAAAAAATGTTTGAACACTGTTAGTATCATATCTGGATACCAGTAGTACAGTAGTGAAAAAACAGAACTGACCCTGTTCCAATTTTTTTTTTTGTAAATCAATGAATATATTTTATATTACTTGATACCAGCATATATATGTAAATGTAACTTAAAATCATTTATTCTTGTATGTTATGACCTGTGATACCTTATGAAAAAACATACTTAAAGGTTTTTAAAATTCCAAAATTTGGGTTACAAATTTGGCCTTTAATCCACTAAAGGATTGAAATCATGGTAACAACAGATGACTTCCTAGTTTCTGTTGAAGGAAGTGAAAGACTGCACAAGCATGAAAATGAATCTGTTGATTTTTCTTTTACCAAGTTTTCCTTAAGTGCAAAGTGATGAAAATGCCTGTTTACCAGATGGATTTTTTTCCTTAATATTACTGTTTGAACAGATGACTTTTACCATGTAAAAAATGGCACTTGATTAGTTGGGAATCATTGAAAAATGGGAGATAAATAAAGAGACCATCCATTTTCATGTCAAAACAATAATAACCCACCTAAAAATTATAATCAAACAATGTATAACAGTTCTTCAATACCTAGGATTACTCTTGCAAAAAATAAGGTAGGAAATCAGGATTTAATTTTTCCTAAAGTAAATATACATATCCACCAGTTTGCTGGAAGTAAAATTTACAACACAAATAATTTCAATCACATTATGAAGAAACCTTTTATGGAAAAATGTACAAAAGTAAGCAGAATACTATTGTAGTTCATTTTCCATAGAAATATACAAACAAAGTAATATCACTGAATCCTGAGGGAAACATAAAACTATTAAACATCATTTGGCCAATAGGTATGTGTATGTGTTTGGGGTTAGGGTGGAATGGAAGGTGCAGAAAAGGCACTGAAGAAATTGTAAGCAATTCCAAATTAGAGTGATTAAAGGGGACAGTCAAAATTTGTGTAATTGAAAGTATTTTCATGTCATATGTGGGAATCTTTATTCTCTGTAATTTTAAGACATTTTGTAAACTTTTTTCCCCTAAGGTATTTTTAGTAAGTAGTTAAAAGGTCATATTCAATATTATCTAAATATATTTTGTGTTTAATATTGAAAAACAATCTATACATGACCAGCTCAGTAGTGGCCTCTGATGGAAAGTAATTTTATCTCTTTTTATGGCAAGGAGTTCTAAGGTAATATGATGGAATTTATTTCTTAGCAATGATAGATACTGTTGTTGTATGTTTTCAGAGGTATTAGTGTGGATGCTCTAGACAATTGAAGGGTAGGTGAACTTTCTCTGTAATAGGCTAAATAGTAAATATTTCTGGATTTGTGAGTCATACAGTCTCTGTTGAACTACTCAATTTTGCTATTGTACAAGGAAGATGGCATAGACAACATGTAATGAATGGGTATGGATTAATTCAGCCTGTAGATTGTAGTTTGTGGGCCACCATAAACACTTTGTTTTAAACCATAAACATAGTTTAAAACCCAAAATAAAATGTGCATAAAAATGAATTACATTTTGAATGTATTAACTCATTCAAAATATATTTTAGTGCCAATATAAGAACTTATAAGTGAGTTACTGTGCCAAGTACTAATCATTGAGTAGTGGAAAAGGGAGATCTTGCTCGGGTATTGTGGCACACACCTGTAATCCCAGCCTCGTGGGAGGTTGAGGCAGGAGGATCATGAGTTCAAAGCCGGCCTCAGCAAAAGCAAGGTTCTAAGCAACTTAGTGAGATCCTGAATCTAATAAAATATAAAATAGGGCTGGGGATGTGGCTCAGTGCTTAAGTGCCTAGGAGTTCAATCCCTGGTACCCCCTCTTAAAAAAAGGGAGATGTGATTCCTGCTCTCTCACAGTGTAATGAGTAAAAAGACAGTGATCAATATTTAAATGCATTAGTAGAATAACATTGAATGTGCTCACCAAACCAAACCAAACAACCCTGTGGTGCCCACTGTGAGGGCACACTCCTGTAATCCTAGTGACTTGGGAGACTGAGGCAGGAGGATCACAAGTTCAAGTCTAGCCACTGCAATTTAGCAAGACCTTGTCTCCCAAAAGGACTGGGGATATAGCTCAGTGGCAGAGTACCTCTAGGTTCAGTACCCAATACTGGGTTTGGGGGTCAGGGGGAGCTCTGTGTGTATGTATCATTTTGCAAAATGAATAATCCCTCTGTGTAGCCAATAGTGACTCCTTATGATTTCTATCCTTTAAAATTTGGGCTACCTTTATCTATACAAATATTGGTATTATAATTTATCTTCTCAAAGGTGAATTATGTAACCAAAGCACCTTCTTCTTCTCATTCTCCTTCTCCTTCTTCCTTTTTTAAATAAAGTAGAGCTTTGTGGTTATATGTAGTAGTTGGGTTCATCCCGACAAACTCACACATGCATGCAAATCAGTTTTGATTCACCATCCTCCACTTTTCCTTGCTGATCTCCCTCCCCTCTTCCTTTCTCCTTCCTCCATTAGACTTCTTTCACTCTTCTAGTAATTTTTATTTATGTAATCTTATCCTTCCCTCCCCTTTTCCTTTATTTTACTCTAGCTTCTGCATATAAGAATATTCAACTTTGAATTTCTGAGTTTGACTAATTTCATCTAGCATGATATTCTCCATTTCCATCCCTTAACCAGCAAATAATTTCATTCTTTTTAATGGCTGAGTAGAACTTTATCACATATATACACCACAGTTTCTTAATCTATTCATCTATTGATGGACATCTGGGTTGATTCCATAATTTAGCCATTGTGAACTGTGCTACTATAAATACTGATGTAGCTGTGTTGCTGTAGTATGCCAATTTTAGATCTTTTGGTAAAATACCCAGGAGTGGGATAGCAGGGTCTTATGTTGGTTCCATCCCTATTGTTGTTTGAGGAATCTCTCTACTGCTTTTCAGAGTGGTTGTACTAGTTTGCAGTCCCACCAAAAATGTGCAAGTGTTCCTTTCCCCCCACAACCTCATCAGATTCATTGTTGTTCACATTCTTGCTCTTTGACTTTCTGATTGGAGTGAGAAGAAATCTTAGTATAGTTTTGATTTGCATTTCCCTGATTGCTAGAGATGTTGAACATTTTTTTTTTCACTTATTTATTGGCCTTTTGTGCTGCTTCTATTGAGAAATTTCTGGTTGGTTCTCTTGCCCATTTATTGATTGGGTTATTTATTTATTTATTTAGGTTTAAGTTTTTTGAATTGTTTGTAAATTCTGGATATTAATTCCCTATTAATTGGAGGGGTAGCTAGTCAAGACTTACTCCATTCTGTAGGTTCTCTCTTCATTCTCTTAATCATTTCCTTGGCTGTACAAAACATTTTTAGTTTAATGGCATCTCACCTATTTATTCTTGGTTTTATTTCTTTCACTTTGGGGCTCTTATTAAGGAAGTTGGTACCAGCATCTAAATGATGGAGCAAAAAAGCACTTTTTTTCTAATGATACTCATTCAAAATAAATTAATATGTGGATAACTAGAATTAAAGCAGAACATAGTTCTAAAGATATAATAAATAAAATCAATTATAAAAATATAATTCTATATAATTTGTTAAAAGTAAATTAACATGTAGATAACTAGAATTATAGCAATAGTTGTGTATGTTGAATTTCATTGTCTCAGATTAGTATCATCTATTATTAATGTGTAATATTTGCTTTTGTGTAGAGGTCTATTATCGTCTGAAGAAATAGTTCATCTGCATTCAGAAAGTAAGGTATGAAATCAAACTTTCTGTGAATGCAATTACATTCTGTAGAATTTAGGTTTTTAAACATACAGAGAAGGGCTAAAACTTCATAGAAATAGAATATACTTAACATACTTAAACATACAGAAAAGGGGTATAACTCGGAGGAGGTAGAGTATGGACCTTGATACTCAGAAGGGATGCATTCATGAAGTGTTGCTTATTAAATGAATAATTTTGCCTCATAATTTCATTGAACAATTTGGAGGACAGTGGAAATTCCAAGTGGAATGAGTTTGTAACCTGAGGCTTTTCAGTTTTCTCTCTGAAGTGTAATCTAATAGAAAACCTGAAAGAGAAAGATACTTGTATACAAAGAAGGTGATTTTAATGGTTTATTCATTCATTTAAATATCTGCAGTGTAGAGATCATTCTTCCAGGTACTGGGTATATTGGGATCTATAAGTTCCCTACCATGAATATCTGGGCCAAGGGAACTGCATACTTACTTGAAGGCCAGGGAAGGCCTATGTAAAGAATAATTCATTAGTGAAAACTAGATTTCTTGAGACAAAGCATCCAAATATAATATTCCACTAACTATGCTAAATATCCTTGAATCTTTGGGACTCATTTTATTGCTGAATCTTTGGTCCAGATAATATAGAGGTCTTTTCCAGGTACATAATTGTGGGATTCTTGAAAATACAATTGAATTAATTTTTTGAAAATAGCTAGCATGTTTTTGTAGCAAAATAGCAATTCAGTGTGTTAAAAAATTGCTTTCCCTGGCAAATGATTAGACTAATCAATAATTTCAATTCTTTTCATTTAGCCAAAGACCAAAAATATTGGTTCTGTAAACAAGGTTCAAAACAAACTGCACTCTGCAAATAAAGGAATTAAAACAAATTCAAGGTATAGTGCAATTTTAAAAGTATTACATTCTTTATTAGTTTTATAGAATATAATATATAATATACCCAAAATATATAAAGTTACAACTACATGTATCTTATTCATATTTGGTAATTTGAAAACATTTTCTACACAAATGTTTTGTGGCAATTAATGAATACTTTGTAAAAGGGAAAATATTTATATGATCTGAAGAGAAACATTTTTTGAGTGTTTAACAGAATGCCATACATTATGATGTATGTTTAGATAAGAATGACTTGGCATTCTCTAAGACTGTAGTACGTTATAATTTACCTTCTGTTGGCTTTGGTAAAATGAATGCAAGATGATCCTTAGGAGCATAAAAAGGCACCCCAAAGGCTGTCTAGGATAGGAAACTTTGTAGAAAAGGAAGAGGTTGGATTGTAACAACCAATCTAATTTTTAGCAAGTTATGATATTTATATATCTGTTACCCAAACTGACACTCATATTAGAATTCGGGCAAACTCTTTGATTCTTGTCTTTTAATTGCTTAAATAACTTCAGTTTTATTAAAAAGAAAGAAAAATTAAAGTGAAAGGGATAAGAAGAGAGATACAAAAATACTGAAGAAAAGAACATATTCAGCATATGTTATATCACTGGAAAAGGTTAACTTGTTTTTAGATTTTACATATCCTTTTTTTTTGTTTGTTTGTTTTTAAAGAAAGGATTGTTTTTCTAGGCAGGATTCCGATGCCTTTTGGAACCATGGACTTGATGATGTGTTTGTGTGTTAGGCCTTGCTAGGGCCTAACTCAGTGCCTTTGTAAAGGCCATTTATTTTATAGTTATTCTTCAACTTCATGAAATAAACAAAAAATCCAGCTTTTTGATAAACTTTGATTCTGGTTACAATGTGTTTCTGTAGGTAGGAGAAAAAAAGTTGAGATAATCAAGCCAATACTATTCACTCTATAATTTTTTCTCAAGAGGTATTATTCTTTCCTGGTAGAATTATAGCCAGGCATTGTCAATTTTTTATACTACGTCTCCAGCAGCATGTAAAATTAAAAGCCACAGGCTGAATTTGATATAGGTGGCCAAGTTCAGTACTTAGTTTTTATGTTTATTTATTTGGAGGCAACGTCTAGACCAACTATCTTCGTAAAGCCATCTCTTAGCTTGTGTGTTTTATAAAGATCAAAAGTCTTATATAGTCCTTGAAAGTCTCAATCATAGATTGCATCATGAATTTGACATTTGTAATAATTTTGATCTGTTATTTGGGCAAGACCATATTTCCTTTCTGCATTTCTATCTTTATTTACACGCACCTCCACACATCCCACACACACATGCACATTTTATCTACATGCATACATATATATTTTTTGTATTTTAGTGTTAAATTGAAATACTCGGATATACAAATTGCTGATGATGTTGCCATTCCAGAGGATTTCTCAGACTTTTCTCTTTCGAAAACCATTAGCAAAATTGAAGGGCAACTGGAGGAAGAGGGCTTACCTGAAGATGATGACATTTTCTCCGGTGTGAGTAAAGACATTGGAACAGGTAGATTTTCTTTTGTCATTTTTTTTTCTTCATATCACAATTACTTAGAAAAAAATGATTTGGGCCAGGCGCAGTGGCCTATGTCTGTAATTCTAGTAGTTTAGTGGGATTGCAAGTTTTAAGGCCAGTCTTAGCAACTTAATAAGGCCCTAAACAATTAGGACCCTGTTTCAAAATAAAAAAATAAACAAGGGTTGGGGATGTGGCCCAGTGTTGAAGCATCCTGGGTTCAATCCCTAGTATGAAAAAAACAAAACATGATTTGTGGGAACATTTTGTGCATTTAAACTATTTATTGTGATGCCTTGGATTTGTTTCAGGACAATCTAATGGGATGTGGTGATGGGAGGAATGAGTGGAATTATAGATGAAATAACATTGACTGTGAGTCCATAAATGTTGAAGATGGGTTGACATTTGTAATAATTTCATGAACTTATCTTTCTACTTCTGTATATGTTCAATATTTTCTATTATGAAAAGTAAAAATGACTATAGTATTGTTTTGGGTTTATTGAGCACTTTTCAACTGAAAGTGTTGCATAGCTCATGACTAAAACATTAAGAAAGTTTCTCTGCTTTTCATTTATTGTTATAGTTTATTTATTGCTTGTTAAATCAATATATGCAGAGGATAAATGAATTAGCGATGTATCATCAGGTACAATAATCAGTTTTCTAATATAATTTTCTTTATTAATTCATCCTTTGAATACTACTGTAAGAATAATACTATGTTTAGATCATCTAAAAGCATTATAATATCAGTAATGGTCTGTTTAAATTATGTATATCTTCTTGGCAATCCGGGCACATCCTATGACTTAAGAAATTTGTCGATGCCTTCAATGTCTTCTATTTTATTAGAGTATAAGTTTTCAAAATAGTTTCTAATTATCCTCTGTTTTTCTGTAGTGTCTGTTGTGATATTACCTTTTTCATCACGTATGCTGGTAATTTGAGTTTTCTTTCTTCGTTAGTGTAGCTAAGGGTCTGTCAATTTTATTTTTTCAAAGAACCAACTTTTTGTTTTGTCAATTTTTTCAATTGTTTCTTTTGTTTTAATTTCATCTCTAATTTTAATTATTTCTTGCCTTTTACTGCTTTTGCTGTTGATGTGTTCTTCTTTTTCTAAGGCTTTGAGATGTAATGTGAGGTCATTTATTTGTTGACTTTTTCTTTTTTAAGGAATGAACTCCGTGCAGTGAACTTTCCTCTTAGTACTGCTTTAATAGTGTCCCAGAGATTTCCATATGTTATGTCTATGTTCTCATTTACCTCTAAGAATTTTTTAATCTCCTCCTTTATGTCTTCTGCAACCCATTGTTCATTCAGTAGCATATTGTTTGGTCTCCAGGTGTTGGAGTGGCTCTAAAGTTGTTAAATAACATAAGGGGAGCCAGCTATGTTATTGAAACAATAAATAAGACAAATGAGTATGTATGAACAGTTAATGCTGAACTATAATAAGTACAATTAGTCGTGACTTCAGGCACACACTTAGCCCTCCTGTCATTTGAAATTTAGCAGTTTTGTTATATAATCATAATATTATCTTGATTCTTTGGAAAATTACAAGTTTGTATGTGTAATGATATTGAACTGCAAACTGGTCAGTCATAGTGGAGATATTTATTAAATTTATTTATTTATTAAATTTATTGGTCTAATTATTAAATTTATTAAATTTATTGGTCTAATCAAACTTTCCAGGGGTAATTGTGGTAGGAAAGGTAAGTGAAATCATAAGTCAGTTGCCCTTCAGTCTGTCTCTTTTTTTTAACCACAAATTTAATTTTTTATTTCTTTTTAGTTATACATGACATCAGTCTCTCTTAAGATGCTTTCAAGGAAGTGATGGCCAGACCATGGGCAGACAGTCGCTCATGCCCACAATGTTCCTGCTCCCATACAGAGAGAACCAGGACAAATGACCTTTATCTTAAATGCCACTTTTTTCTTATTGCTGAATTATCCTGCCACTCTCAGTATCTTCCTTTTTTAGTATCTTTGACCTAAGTGGAAGAATTTTCCCTTACTCTAGATGATTGCTTAGAATGGCTGGGTTATGTATTGGAGTAAAAGATTAAAAAGTAGTTTGGGAGCACAGGCTACTTTAAAAGATTTAAAGCTGACTTTTGCTAGAGAGGATTTGTGTTTGTTTCTGTCAGTCACTTTGGGACATTACTGTCCTGAGACCCCTGTCAATTCTGTTTATTGTGGACCACCTTATTGAGTATAAATTCAGTCTGCAAACTTATGGGAGTCTAGGAGCAGGTTAGATCCTCTGGAGAGATTTTTCTTCCTCCTTCTAAACTCAGTTCTAATGAGATGTGAATAGTTAGTTGCCTGTCGTTCCTTTCTGTTGAGAGGATTTATTTTTCATTCATCTTTGCCTTCAGAGTATTTAATGACTTTAGTGTCCCTTAACAGGGATCTACCTGTTTTGAGCTATTTTGAGCATTTTTTCCCTCTTAAAGTAGCAGTATGTCTTAAAACTGCTGATATATTAATTCAGCAAAAGACAGTAAGTGCAATTATTTAAATCCACAGAGGCACAGATCAGATTTCTAAAAGCCAAACTCCATGTTATGCAGGAGGAATTGGATAATGTTGTATGTGAATGCAATAAAAAGGTAAGATTTTAAAACTTCTTAAAAGAAATGCTCTAACATTCGAAGACATTTGAGGGCAGTTTCAATTATATTTTAATGGCTTTATTTTTAGCTATTATTCAGTTACATTTTGAATTAAAAATTATATATAAATACAGAACTTTATTCCAAAATGTTGAATTATCACAAAGCAAAAGAAGTTTTAAAAGTGTACTAATTAGAATTCTTTTTCAGACTTTCAAGGTAAGCTGTTAAACACAAATAAGCTATCTGACTTGCATTTTGTAAGATGAAAATGGAATATACTTTTTTCTTCATTAAATGGGTATAAATATCTCATCAAAGATTATATTCTGAAGTTCCTCTTTTGTTTTCTGCTTTGTTTGGATATGAACTCATGTGCATTTTGTCACACTATCTCTAATTTTGTAACTAGGAAGATGAATTGCAGGATTTAAAGTCTCAAGTAAAAAACCTTGAAGAAGATTGTGTGAGACAGCAACGAACAATTAATATGCAACATTCCCAAATAGAAAAATATAAAAATCTTTTTGAAGAAGCAAATAAAAAATGTGATGGATTAGAACAACAGTTGACTTTAATAGAAAGGGTAATGATTTTGCTATTTTTCCTAACTTAATACCAAAGATACATTAAAATTATTAAAGTAACATTTGTATAAACATACTTTTGGTTATTCAATTATTAGTATTTACCAAAAACAACCTAAATACTATATATTTCATCCATTTAATTTTTTTTTTTAGTTGTAGATTGACTCAATGCCTTAGTTTTTATGTGATGCTGGGATTGAACTCAGTGCCTCACACTTGCAAGGCAAGTGCTCAACTACTGAGCTACAACTCCAGCCCTGTAAAGAACATAATTCAGTAGCTTAGTATATTCATAGAATTACACAACTACAACCATAGTCAATTTAGGCCATTTTCATAACCTAAAAAAAAAATACTTTTGTACCCTTTGGTTACCATACCTGACCTCTCTTTCCCCAAATGCTTTGAGCCCTAGGCAACCACTAATCTATTTTCTGTCTCAATAGATTTGTCTATTCTAGAAATTTCATATACTTGGACTTATATAATATGTGCTTTTTAATATTGACTTGTTTTTAAGGTTGATCCATGTTGTAACATCAATCAGTATTTCATTCCTTTTTGTTGGCCAGTAATATTCCATCATATAGCTGTAACTCGATCATCATTTAGACATGTGGATTATTTTGAATAATGCTGCTATGAACATTCACGTACATGTTTTCACTTCTTTTGGCTATATACCTAGTAGTGAAATTGCTGAGTTATCTAGTGACATTATGTTTAATATTTTGAGGAACTATTCAGTTTCCTAAACTGGCTACACTATTTTATATCCCACCAACAGGTGGAAGGAGGGGTCCAGTTTCTTCACATTCTCACCAAAACCTGTTACAGTATATTTTTTATTGTAACTATTCTTCTGGTGTGAAGTAGTTACCTTATTATGTTTTTGCATTTCACTAATAAATGATGATGTTGAAAATCTTTTTATGTGCTTATTTTCTCTTTGTATCTCTTCTTTGGGAGAAATGGCTGTTCACATTGTTTGCCCATTTTAAAAACTGAATTTTTTATTATTGATAATAACAGTTCTTTAATAGGATATATATAGCTGTAAATCTATATAGAGCAGTAAGTCCCTTATCAGATATATAATAGGCACATATTTCTCTTAAGTATGTGGGTTGTCTTTTTTTTTAAATAATGTTGCTACTACTCTCTATGTATTTTTAAAAATATTTATTTAGCTGTAGATGAACACACAGTATTTTTATTTATTTTCATGTGGTGCTGAGGATCAAACCCAGTTCCTCACACAAGTGAGGCAAGCGCTTTACCACTGAGCTAAAGCCCCAGCCCCTGTGGTTTTCTTTTACGTTCCTTAAAGTATCCTTTAAAGCATGACATTTTATCTAATATTTTGGTTGTTTAGACTTGTAGTGTCATATCTAAGGAAATAATATATTTTAAATGAACTCCTATTTAATTTTTTTCTATTAATTTACCATTGTGATAATAAAAATTCAATAATACTATATAGGATTACTTTGTAAAACTTGATGATAAAAATAATAATATAGAATGTACTGAGTTTTTAGTAAGAAAATATGCCTTCTTCATTACTACATTATTATGATTCTCTTTAGTATATTTGTATGAGAGCCTATTTTTAGGCATTTTATTTTGGTATAATTGACATTATCTTTGGTAATAATTTTAGTATCAGATTTATTTAGGCATAGTTTATATACAGTAAATTTGTTTTTTAGTATACAGTTTTGATAAATGCACACAGTTGTTTAACCATTACCATAATCAATGTGACATAGAACAATTCCATTACCCCCAAAATTCCTTGTAAATTTAGTCGAGTACTTCCCCTAATCCCAGCCCTGGTAAATCACTAATAGTTTGGCCTTTTCCAGTATATCTCATGTAAGTAGAATCATACAAACAATATCCTTTGAGTCTTATTTTTTCCACTTACCATAAAGCATTTGAAATTTATCCATGTTGCCCATTCCTTTCATTGCTGAGTAGTGTAAATGGTGAATGGATGTACCACAGTTTACCCACATATTTAGTAATGAAAATTGATTATAGTATCTAATAGTTTAAGTCTGTACTGTCCAATAAGATAACCATTTATGGGCAGGGGTTGTGGCTTAGTGGTAGAGTGCTCGCCTAGCATGTGCAAGGCCCTGGGTTCAATCCTCAGCACCACATAAAAATAAATACATAAAATAAAAGTATTGTGTTCAACTACAACTAAAAAATAAATATTAAAAAAGACAGCCATTTAATATTCATAGCTAGTCTAAATTGTGGTGTGCTATAGTTATAAAATAAACATCAGATTTTAAAGACTTATTATAAAAGAATGAATAATTTAAAATATGTCAATCTTTTTTTTATTCTTATTAGTTACACATGATAGTAGAATGTATTCAATCTTATTTTTTATATTGTTTACATGTTGAAATAATATTTTAGATATATGTGGTTAAGTGAAATAACATTATTAAAATTAATTTTGCCTTTTTCTTTTTAACCTCCTCAAAGTAGTTATTAGAAAATGTAAAGTTCATATTTTACTTCTGTCAGTTTAAGAAAAATAGATGATTAGTCTAAAAAAAAAGCTGTGACTGAGAGATCAACTTGTTTTTTTTGATAGTATAGGACATTGAACCCAGGGCCTTATGTGTGTTAGGCAAGTACTCTACCACCAAGACATACCCTGAGCCATTTTTTAATCTATCTTTTTATTTATTTTTCAGTACTGGGAATGGAACCCAGAGGCACTTTACAATGAGCTACATCTCCAACCCTTTTTAGAAAGGGTCACTAAGTTGCCCAGGCTAGCCTCAAACTTATGATCCTCCTGCCTTAGCCTCCTGTTACTGGGATTACAGGCATGTGACACTGCCCAGCTATACTGTGTTTTAATTTGCCATTTATCATTTGTCACCACACACCCAAGTACTAGCTTTATCACTATTTTAGTCTCAAATAATATTGAAACTTTGGTTACATATTTGTTCTTTGCTCTCATATCCTATCCTATGCATTATTTCTTCTAAATGTTTTCATGCATCTTTTTCAGTTTCTTGTCACCACTTGGTTCAAGCAATTACTACATTATTTTTGAACCCTCTTAATAGGTCATTTTATGTCCATTCTCTCTTTGTCATCCATTATATCCTGGACTCTTATCAAATAAATATTCTTAAAGGCAGCATTGCTTATACTCTTTCCTTTGAGGAAAAAGAGGAACAATTTTTTTTTAATGTTACATAGTAGGGGAACTGAGTCCGAGTGGTTAAGCAAACAGAATTCAAACTGTTTTGTCTGATTCCAAAGTCTATATTCTCCCCACAAATGAGATCAACTATTTTTTAAATTGTGTATTGTTATTTTAGCAGCTAATAGTGACAGATGGATTATTTTCTAAATTATAAAAACAAAGCATTAGGCTTTTTCTGTTATTGATCTTTTTTAAAAATTAACTATATTGGGGAATGAATTAAATACAATAAGACTTTTAAAAATACAGTTCAATGAAGTTATTTTATTCTTTGCACTGGGAATTGAACTGCTTTACCAGTGAGCTACATTCCCAGTTCTTTTTATTTTTTATTTTGAGAATAGAGTCTTGCTAAGTTGTTGAGACTGGCCCCAAACTTGTAATCCTTTTGCCTCAGCCTCCCAGGAAAGGGCCAGTGAACCTGGTCAATGAGTTTTGATGAATTAACATATCCTTGTAACCATCACAATCAAGACAGAGAAAATTTGTCACTCTCCTTCAAATGTCCTTTGTACCGCTTACCCATAGAAACTTAGAAACTTCCAATTTCTATCCAGGGCCCCAGGCAACCAAAGATCTGCATTCTTTCACTACAGTTTTGTTTTCTCTGTTCTAAAATTTCATATAGATGGAATCATAAATATGCAATTTTTGTATCTGGCTATTTTTGTTCTTAATGTTTTTTAAATACATCAGAATTATAATATGTTTTGTGGTTCATTTCTTTGTATTGCTGAGTAGTATTTATTTGAAGATATGCCATATTTTGTTTATATCTTCACTAGTTTATGTGGGCATTAAAATTTTTTTCCAGTTTATTAAAAATAAAGCCTTTTTATTTCCATACACAAGTATTTTGTGTAGATTCATATTTTGTGAATTCATATCCAGCATCAGAATGTTGGATAAATGTTCTGAGTCTTATAGAAATTACATATTAAATTTTTAAAGAAACTGTCAAATAGTTTTCCAAAGTGATAATTGAATTTTGCATTCCCACTAACAGTATGAGAGTTCAGTTCCTCTGTCTCCTCATCAACACTTGATATTTTCAGTCTTAATAATTTTAGCTCTACTAAAGGTGAAGTAGTTTGTCATTGCAGTTCTTTATTTCCTTTCTGTTAATGTTTAACATCTTTTCATATGCTTATTGGTTATTCATATTTTTCTTGTTATGTATCTGTTGAAACCGTTTTTCCTGTTTGAAAAACACTGGGTTGTAGGAGTTCCTTATGCCTCTTTGTATAAGAGGTTAGAAGTGTATGTATTGTAAATAAAATGTCCTAGTCTGACTTGACTTGAATTTTCCTAACAGTATGTTTCCAAAGACAACAGTTTTAAATTTTGATGCATTTCATACATTATTTTCTCATTTTTTTTAAAATTCTCTCCAGAAAGCTCTGTCCACCCTAAGGCCATGAGGATTTTCTCCTACAATTTTTGAGTGTGTGTGTACACGTTTGTGTGTATAATGTAAAATAAAAATTACATAATGTCCTATCTTTGAAATTAATTTTATGGTATGAGGGTTAAGGTCAATCTTTAATTTTTTTTTTCAATTTGTCCCCCTTTGGTTACCATGTTACCTGTGTAGAAAATGCATTGACTGCATATACTTGTGGGTCTATTTCTGGACTCTGTTTTGTTAGCGTGAACTATGTGTTTGATATAATTCATAAGATAAAATTTGTAGGTAAAACCATGTGGAGTTTTCTTTCTGGAAGTATTGTAGTTACCAATTCAATTTATTTAATGCATATGTCTATTCTACCTTCATATTACTTTTTGAATCAGCTTTGGTAATCTTTATTTTCCAAGAAACTTGTCCATTTCATCTAAGTAATAAAACATACTGACAAAATTGTTTATAATATTCCTTTATTTATAATATAATTTATAATACTTATATGACCTACAATAATGACCCCTTTCATTCTTGATATTGATGATTTGTCTTATTTTTAATTAATTTAATGAATTTATTTATTTAAATATCAAGCATACTGCATTTTCTAATACATTTTCCCCCTTTCAGAGATGGTTATTAATGGTTGGTCTTCTTTCTTCAACTTTCCAACACCCTTTCCAGCCTCTGAGTTCATGACTTTGCCCTCTGTTTTATTAAGAAAATAAAAATCAAAAGATAACTTCATCATCCAATCATGAAATCTACCAGCCTCTTTGCTTCTATACCCATATATTGTACTCCCTGTTATAATGGATTATTACCTCTTCTATTTAAAGCTTATCCTTTAATTGTGTGTGGATCCCATACCCTCCTACTCAAGGATTTTGCATCTTGCCATTATCCTGCCTTTGTCTTGCAAAATTAAAATTTATTGGATTCTTTTTCGTGAATATACAAACAAGCCATATGATTCTCTCTCTCTCTCTCTCTCTCTCTCTCTCTCTCAAACCTGTTTAGATCTCACATCTCCTCCCACCCTACATCATTGCTACATCTTCCACAGCTGCCAGGATTTTCATTCCAAGTCTATTCTTATTCTACCTTCGTCATTTGTTTCTGAAACTTGATCTGATCAGTTATTTATCCTTATCTGATTTTTCTCACCTAAATTACTGTGGAACTTTTGTGACTTTCCCAGTGTTTACTGCATTGTGCTGTGGCTGATACATGCACCTCTCTCTTGTTCCCACTATCTTTTATGAGGGATATAAGAATTATGAGAGGGTGGTAAATTATTTCCTCTTGAAGCTCCTAGCATTGGGTTTTAAAGCTAAATTTTATTTTCTTTATACTACCTAGCTTTTAAAAATATTTATTTTTTAGTTATAGGTGGACACAATACCTCTATTTTTATGTGGTGCTGAGGGTCAAATCCAATGCCTCATGCATGCTAGGCGAGCGCTCTACCTTTGAGCCACAAACCCAGCCCGCTATCTAGCTTTATTTTCTTTAAAACATGAAATTCAAGACGTGGGATTTTTAATGAAACTTTTGTTCAGCAGTATATAAACTGCTTTTTGGAGGGTAACAGATTAATTTTGTCTATTTTGCCAGTAGTATCTTGTCTATACTTAGTAAACGATACTAGAGTATGTCTGAACACAGAAATGTTTTCAATTAGGTTTTCCTTTCTTTAGTGGCTTTATGTATGTAGAAAAAAAAATTATTTCCTGCTTTACTATTCTCCTGACTGTCCTTTTTCTTCTTCACGTCTCCCCACAAGGGGATAGTATTGATTAAAGAATTGGTGGGGAAACATCATGTAATGAAGGATGTTTTTCATTTTTCTGCAAAGTAGATTCCAAAATCACCAGCAGGAAGGAGGTTCCCCTGGTCTGTGAGAGACGGCTGAAATTAGGTAGCAAGAACTGTAGACTTTGAGCTAATGAACTTCTTTGCCTTTTCCATGTGAACAATGAAATAAATCATATGAGTTTTTAGTGTAACTGCCACCTACAAAGCTGTGAAGAAGACTGTGACAGCAGATGGTATCCACACACAGTTTGATTTGTTTAGAAACCTACATAAAAAATAGCATGTGTTGTTTTGTTTTCCCCCTTAATTACTCAAAGCCAAGGAGATCAGTATTCAAAGATGATATAGCGTTATATCAGGAGAAAAAAAATCATGAAAGAATACAGACTATGTTTTTATTGAATCATTTTATTGTATCAGTTCTACAGTATTTATTGGGTCTTTGCTTTCAGTAAGGGTCTAGACTAGGCCTTATGTTGAAGGGGCTACAAAAAGAGTGGGTTAAGTATTTATAAGTTCAAAGATGTCATTAGTCCCTTTTATATGCCACTGAAGTGCTGGAAATAAATTAAGACAGTTTCTGTCCTCAAGGAACGAGTTTATAAAGGAGTGAAGGAAAGAAAGCAAATGGACAGTTTCATGCCATGTCGCAGGTGCTGTAATAAGTATGTATTAAGAAGTCCTAGAGGCTCTAAGAAAAGGCAACCAATGCAACCTGGGTGGTTAGTGAGGGTTAGAGATAGGAGGCTTCCTGGAGGAGGGAAAGTCCTAATGAACAACAGTGAGTCTTAATGAGTAGGTTAAGAGATCAGGATCAGAAGCAGGAAACATATGGCTGTTTGGGAGTAATCCAAGTACTGCTGATTTTACTGAAGGTAACATCTGTGAGAGATGAGGCTTGTTGATAGGGGCCAGGTTCTGGTGGAGTTTGAAGTTACCAGTATGTTCACGTTTCTTTATGTTCTTCATGTTGGCCTATTGACTGTATGCAATGGAATATCCTAGGTTATTTGCAGAAATATAAGTCTAATCCAGGACATGGAAAGCCATCATTCATAAATTATTGTTTCTGCTCAAAATTGAGATTTTCCTGTAGGACTAATACAGAATGTTTTGCATTTGGCGAATTTTCTTAAATGACACATTTTGCCAGTTCTACCCAAAAACAGTGTTTGTGTGAGAGTGTATGTCTTACATTGGCCTTTTGGGAGGCTTCTGAAAGAACTACTACAGTTATAAAAGGTTGCTTATAAAAAATAGGAACTGTGTTATAATGTTGTAGGTAAATAAAGGGAGAAAATTCCAAAGTAAGAATTTAGTTCACAATTACATTTTTAGGATATATTTTTCTAATACCAGTTTGAGGCAAGAATTCCCTGAGAACTCTAATACTTAGTGACCATCTACTAGCTGTGGTGTGGGGGGGTGGGAGTGGGGTATGTGGAGGGGGCAGCAGGGATTTGCAGGGAAATTTGTGGAATGGAAAATATAAAAAGGGAAATTATCTTTTTTACTATGCAGGAATTAGAAAATAAAAGACGACTACAAAAACAGGCTGCCTCTACCCAAAGCACCACAAAAGTCCGCTTGAATAGAGCCCTAGAAGAAGCAGAAAAGTATAAACTGGAGTTAAGTAAATTAAGACAAAACAACAAGGTATGGAAAGATTAAATAGTTTTGGTAGTGATCACTTTGGGTAACTTCCTCTTATGCAAGCATCAAAAATAGTTTTAGACTTACAATTCTTGATGTTATAACCAACATTTTTCTTTTTCAGCAAGTTAGGATTATATGCTGGGGCTGTTACCTAATTGGATGATACCATAGTTCTTTAGAGAATTCATTCACTTCTTTATCCAAAAGATCTTTATGGGTGCCCAAATTATATGCCAGACACTTTTCTGAGCTCAGGATAAGGAGTGGGGAAAAAAGTGTGTTTGATGTCTCATGTTGGTTATATTCTTTTCTGAGCCTCAATTTTCTAGTATAGAAAGCAAGGGGCTGTTTAACTAGCAGTAGCTTTCAATAACTTGGCAGTAGCTCTCAAACTTGAGCATGTATCAGGATCACCTGAAGAGTTTGTTAAAACACAGATTGCTTGGCCTCAGCCTTGGAGTTTCTGACTCAGTAGGTCTAGGGTGAGGCCTGAGAATTTGGAACTTTAAAGAGGTTCCCAGGTGATACTGCTGCTGGTTCTTAAACCATAGTTCAATAACTACTGTCACGGAGCCTATTAGAAAGATCCCATCTCCAAGGCCTAGCCAATGCTTGGCATAGGATTAACATTCAATGCCTTAACTAGCTGTTAAATTAATGAAGGTTCAAGTATTGATGTATATGAAGATATCTGTACATTCTGTAAATATTGGCTATTGTTTTTTGTTCTGTGTCAACCTGAAAGGACAAAAGTTGATACTCCATTGGAATCTCTTCCCTTAGAAAAATATTTAATAATTTAACAATGACATATGATGAAATTAGGAACCACCTTCATTTCATATGCAGATAATACATTTTGGATTATATTAGTAACAATAGGAATAGACTGGAACTGACCTTGATTAGTCCTCCAACATGTTTAACAGAGGCAAATATATGACAGTGACTACAGTTTTAACAATATTATCTGTGAGATTGTTTATCCTATTTTGATCAAACTATTTTCATGTTCATGTGCCATTAATGACGATATGATAACAGATTTATTAATAGAAGTTATCAGATGAGCAAATTAAGTCATCTCTTGGGACTTAATAATTAGTATATTATAATATTTCCAATTTGCATTTTAAAAGGATTTTGAAGACAATAAAAGGAAGGGTAACCATGAGTGATTCAGGATTTGCAATTCTGGTTGCAGATTTGATCTTTATATTAGCACACAGTAGAAAGTAGAAAGAAAAATTGGTTTCCAGCAGATGGCTCTCCTCATTGTATCTGGCCATCTTGAAAATTCAGGTGATGAAGACTTGTTATGTGAATAGCTCATTCTAAAACCATCAACACTATAAGAACAACTTGGATGCATTCAACATATAAACTTCTGACCCCAGATCTGCATTATGATTGATTGATTTAAATTTGTGGAATAATATTTTTGAATATATTGCTTACTCTATAGTATAATGTAGACACTTGTGGCCAGATTTTTAAAATGTAACTTATTTCAGAATTCCAAAAAACTATGTGTCTTATACTTTTGATTTAAAAAAAATTTTTTTTTGTAGTTGTAGATGGACAGAATGCCTTTATTTTATTTATTTTTATGTGGTGCCGAGGATCGAACCCAGTGCTAGGCAAGCTCTCTGCCGTTAAGCTACAGCCCCAGCCCATACTTTGATTTTTTAAAAATTATTTTGCCTAACATTTATCATTGGGGGATGTTCCAGGATTATATAGTAATTCTCTTAGAGTCTAATCTGTATGTTTGTGTGTGTGTGAGAGAGAGCAGGTTTTTTTCTTTCAATTTAATTCTTTTTACTTTACCTCTCATTTTGATTAAACATATAATTATTGTTAAATAGTCAATTAAAATTATTCAGGTTTAAAAAATATAACAGGGAAATATTAATGTTTCCATAAAACAGAACAAGATTACCTTGTAGTCATCAGAAACCAAAGATCTGTTTTTAAAAATAATGACAAACTTATTCTTAACAGAAATTAGAAAACAAATTTGGTTTTAAAGTAGGAGTAACTTTTGAAATGAAAAGTCAGTTAATTTAAACCAGGTGCTGTATGAATGAAAGGACCTTAGTCTTAATCACTATCATGTCCTCAGGGTCTAGCAAATGGTCATTGCTAAAGTCACACTGAAGGAAGGAATGATAAAAGTAATGGTTTAACTGGAATTCCACTTAAAAACAGGACATTTGATTTGATGATTACTTGAAATCCTTTTATAATGTGACACCAAAGTCCATGTTACTTCATTTAAAAAGAGATAATTTCTGATTCTTCATTAATTCATTTAGAAATATTAGGGCCTGATAAGTACTGTACTGGCCAGATCTTTATTAGAAGCTGAAAGATGGAAGGGAGATGAAAATTGAATATATTATTTGAAGTCTTGCAGCTTTTAGTGGAGAAGTTGGATGTTTAGATAACCCATCAAGCAAAATTAAGGGGCAACTGTGAGAAATTCTGTGGGTAAGCTAAGATCTGAATAATATATAGGAGTTAAGTGTCCAGAGAGATAATTATGGACAGAAGGAATACTAAGTAAATATGGTTCTCTGGCAAGAAAAGAGGACAAGTTAATGAAAGGAAAATTAGATGTGAAGGGAGTGATACAAAGTGAAGCTTTAAAGGGTGACGTCATCTAGATCCTTTAGGCCAGGGTTAAGGATTTTAGATTTCATCCAAAGAGCAGTGCAAAACTACTATACAATTATTCTTTGAAGGGCAGAGAATCTGGCAAGCAGGCCAGAATGGATGCAGATAGATTGGTTAAGAGTAAGTGTAAGAAATGATGATGTAGTTTGGACTAAAGTGATAGTGGTAGAAATGGGAGGGGTTCTAAGTTCTCAAATACATTTAGGAGCCAGGCTCAGTAGTGCATGCCTGTAATCCCAGCACCTCAGGAGGCTGAGGTGGGATGATCACAAGTTCAAAGCCAGCCTCAGCAAATTAGTGAGGCCCTAAGCAAGTTAGCAAGACCCTGTCTCAAAATAAAAAGAGCTGGGGATGTGGCTCAGTGGTTAAATGCCCCTGGGTTCGATGCAATAGGGTTTAGTGATAGACTGGATATGGTCTGTGGGAAAGGAAAGCTTAAGGAAGGATAGTACTATTCACTGAAATAAGAAACACTGGAACAATTCTGGGGAAGAAAATTATTAGTTGTTTAAGAATATATTTCTTAAAGTTTGAAGTTATTCTGAGGAATCCAAGATGAAATGTTTTAAAATTTAGAGAAGTCTCATTGAATAGGAAGACAGAATAAGTGAGAGAAAGAGAAAAGCAAGGGCCAGACTGAGCCTTGAAATAGTCCAGTATTTCTAAGGAGTATTCAGTACTTAACCACACCAATTGATCACCAAGAAATATTTTGGTAGAGTGATAAGGGAAGAAGACAGATTTAATGGGAAATGAAAAATGAATGCAGGTGAGGAAGTGGAGATAGTGAATATATATGTGTGTAATTCTTTAAAGACACAAAAGAGTAGAGTTGGAAGGACAGAGCTGAGTGAATTTTTTAATGAGATAATTTACATACAATAAAATGCAGATTGCACATGTATAGTTCACTGAGTTTGGGCTCCTTGTTTTGGTCAGCTTTTTCACTGCTGTGACTGACCAGACCAACTGTAGAGAGGAAAAGTTTATTTAGGGGCTCATGGTTTCAGAGGTCTCAATCCATAGACAGCCGGCTCCACTCCTTGGGAATGAAGATGAGGCAGAACAACATGGTGGAAGAATATGGTGGAGGCACACAGCTTACATGATGACAAGGAAGTACAGAGACTCCACTTACCAGATAGAAATATATACCCTGAAGCCACATCTCACCTGCCTTCAGTTACCACTCAATTAATCCCATCAGATGATTAATTCAATGATCGGGTTAAGGCTTTCCTATCCCGATCATTTCTTCTCTGAATCTTCTTGCATTGTTTCACATGTGAGCCTTTGGAGGACACCTCACATCCAAACCATAATACTCCTACTTATCTGTATAACCAGCCACTTTATAGAATATTTACATTTCCCCAGAAAGTGCCCTTGTTTCTGTTTCTAGGCCCCTCAGAGACTGCACTGGTCTGATTTCATTGGCTTCTTTCACTTACCATAATATAAAATTGACCTGTGTTTTTATTTTTTATTGATCCATCTTGTTAATTATTTACCAACTACTCTTTCCAAAGACTCAACTTTTGCCTTTATTTTCTTTATAATTTGTTTGCTATTTCACTGAATTCTCTTTATTTTATCCTTTTGTCCACTTGCTTTGGCTTTAATTTGTTCTTCTATTTCTAACTTCTTAAGTTGAAGGCTTAGATCATTGATTTTAAATTCTTCTTTTCTAAAGCATTTAATGGTAGTTTCCCTTAAAATTATGCTTTAGCTAAGTCCCAGAACTATTTTTTGCCTCTTTTAACTAAATATTTCTATTTTAATATACCTACTGTAATATAATTAATTTACAAAAACCTGTACATATTTAGTGTAAAATGTATTGAATTTTGACTGTATACCTATGAAATAATCACCCATTATATATATCTGTCAGCCTTGAAAGTTTGTGTCCCTTTACAATCCTCCATTCCAAGGTAACTTGTTTCTACATTTTCTAGAATTTTATGTTCTTTTAAATTTTTTTCCAATGTGACTTCTTTTATTCAGGACAATTATTTTGAGATTCATCCATGTTGTTTCCTGTGACAATAGTTAATTTAATAACTTTTTTTACCCATGGTATATACCAGTATTTGTCCACCCATTAACTGTTGGACAGGTGGATTGTTTCTAATTTTGGCCTATTTTACAAAAACTGCTATGATCATTCATGTATAATTTTTTATATAGGCATACGCTTTTTTTCCTGTTGAATGTCTAAGTTATATTGTTAAACCTAAGGTAACAGATTTGTTTTCTTATAGAAGTTGAGTATCTTTTAGCTTTTATATTTTAGTTTTTATGTTTGGGGTTTTTCTTTA